TTTTGCAGTCAACTAAGGCATGAAACTTGGCAGAAAATAAACAACTGTCTAGGGTACAGTCTTCCAGAATAGGGAGGAATCCTTTCCTTTCACCTGGCCTTAGCCAGGCCCAGTCATTTGAAATTATTTGCCACCTCAAGCATACTATGTAACACAACATGGAGGCCTTCCAAAGATATAGGAATCAGCATCAATAGCACCAAATAGCTAAGAGGGAGGCAGAGGTGGAGTTCTATTAATTAAACAAGATAATTTTGTTTATGCATTTTTTTCAATGCCAAAAAGATGCAATGCCAGCATACTGCTCACAGCCATTGTTTGAAAGTGGTCTGTGACTGAATTAGTGTGTTGATTATGTTTTAGACAGAACCATTAACAGACTTGTTTGTTAAACATATACAGATAAGTCACACCTGTTGGCCTGGTGATGTGCTAGTGACATCCTGCCATTTCCTCGTATTTAGTCTGGCCAACTTGAATATTCATTGGCAATGCCTAAATAAAATGAGGAAAGAAGCAGAAGATGGTGAGTGGTAGAACATCTATTTATGCAGTTGCTGGAGAAATATCTACAATGTTAAGGACATCTCTTTCCTTTTCTACCATCAGATTCCTTGGAAGACAGGGTTGCTCTGTGTGTGTGTGTCTTTTTGTTTGTTTTATAAATGGACAAGTTACAAGTTGAGGAATCTGCACAGCAGAGGGTTTGCTTATGAATAATATAATTCAGATAATATGGATAACATAATATGCTTAGAGATAATATAATTCAGAAGTACTTGAGTCAAGAGACTAAGAAAGCTGCAACACTAAAGGAAAGGGGGCTTCATCAATAATCACTAATTGTGAAGTCTAAGGTTGAATTCGCACTATGCAACAGACAAGTGTGAGAACTGACATATGGTAGAACATTTCTTCCTATCACTCTCCCCATCCCTTTTCAAGGGCATGAGCAAAATAATAACAATATTAATAATAATAGTGAGCATTTAAATGGCTTTACAAAGCACTTTATTCATGTTAACTCATTTGATCATTACAATATCCCTATAAGGTGGGTCCTGTTTTACAGATAAGGAAACTGAGACACAGAGAAATTAAGTGACTTGTCCGAGGTCACATAGTTTAATGTGTGTCTGAGGCAGAATTTGAATTCAAGTCTTCCTGACTCCATATTTTGTGCATTATCTATTGTGCTACCTAGCTGCTGAAAAGAAAGGCAAAAGACCATATGCAATTTGTAATGCCCCACATATGACAATATTAGGGAAAATTTACAGTTCCCAGAATTCCATGGGCCAAAGACTCATAGGAAAAGAGTAATGTCTAGGGACTGCAAGGTGAAAGAAAGAACAAGGCAGGAGGAAGATGAGGCTACCAGGATATGATAACAGTGAGAAATGCCAAATCAGCAAGGTAGTGACCAAGCATCCAGAAGTGTCCAAGCCAGGACCAAGGACTATAAGACTATGCTGAGATCCAGGAACTATAGATCTGGAAGTGGCAGCAGGGGTAGGACTCCAAAGTTAAAATGGTGGCAAAGGCCAAGCCAGGATAAAGCCAGTTTACACCAAACTACCCAAGCTACTGAGATTTTTTTTCACCATACTTTTCTAATGGATATTGTGAGTACTAGGGACTAAAACCTCCACATTATGTATGGGAAATGGTAAACACTCACCTGGGCAGGGATCAGATTATTTCCAATACTTTAAAGGATCACAGACTGTGACTTAAAAGGGGCATTATAGATGTCATCTTTTCCAATTTTCTCATTTTTCAGGAAACCAAAGCCTACAGAAGATGTGATTTGCTCAGACATACAAGTATCAAGTCACTGAAGCTCAGTGCCTTTGGCTTAAAAGCTACAATCATGCATCACTGAGGGAATTGGGATGCTGGTCCTATGTTCAATATGGTTCTAAACAAATATTTTATGTCTAAATACTTGGGTTGAAAACCATAGATTTTTGCATGAGTGGAGTCTAATACCCCTGGGGTAAATGAAAATAAGCCAGATTATTACATTCTCAAAGAAAAAAAACCTGGGAGATGCCATGAGCCATGATGTGGCTCCATTAGAAAGCCTCTAAGATTGAACCTTGTCCATTAGTTCTCAGACAACACAATTTAAGTTACAACTGGATTTAGACTATTAATGATACTTGTGAAACTGTCATTTTATCTAATCATTAATTTAGTAAATTATAGCCCAGAAAAATTTTACTCAACCTTTAACAATGAAAAATGTATGAGTAGGACTAGACTTGTGATTCATTTCATTGGTGTGGGGAACTTTTGATGTGAAAATTCTGCCTACTAATGCAAATCAGTGCTTTCTCTGCAACTTAGAATCTTACAGAGTTGTCTTTGGTATTGAGAGGTTAAGTTACTCATCCAAGGTTACATAGCCAATATATCTCAGAGATGGAACTTGAATCCAGGTCTTTTGACCTCTAATCTGCAACACTGTGCTACCTCTTAATAAATGTGTGTACTGATTAAAATAAGAATAATAACAACTGTGGTTAGAAATTAAATTCCTTCTAAAGGTAGCCCAGTTTTCTCCTCTGTAAAATGGGGAGAATAAGAGTATTTACCTTACAGTTATTATGAGAATCAAATAAGATAAGTGAACATAAGAAAAGGGCTTTGAAAGTTCTACATAAATGTTAAGCTATCATCATCATCATCATCATCATCATCATTATATGATTATGTGTTCTTATGCTACCTCAACATGGCACGGAACTAACCCTATGTTCTTGAAGGCTGTGCCAACAGAATGTAAAGTTTTCTGCATTCACATCTGCAGGTCTGACCATCTCTCTCTCTCTCTCTCTCTCTCTCTCTCTCTCTCTCTCTCTCTCTCTCTGTCACACACACACACACACACACACACACACACACACACACACACACACACACACATGCTCCTACTCAATAAACTCCAGTGCTTCCTACCAATTCCAGTATCAAATACAAAATCCTCTGGCATTCGAAGCCCTTTATAACCAATCTTCCACCACCACCATCACCTTCCTAGTCTCCTTACACCTTATACTCCATCACATACTCTTCAATCTGGTGACACTAGCCTCCTTGCTCTTTCATGAACAAGACACTCCATCTCTTGGCTCTGGGCATTCTCTGCCTGCTCTTTCTTCTGGAAATGCTTTCCCTCCTCATCTTTCCCTCCTGGCCTCCTTTAAGTCCTAGGTAAAGTACCATCTTCCATAGGAAGGTTTGCTTTTTATCCTTCATATAGCTTGTATACATACATATGTATATATATATATGTGTGTGTGTGTGTGTGTGTGTGTGTGTGTGTATACATATATTTGTTTGCTTGTTATCTCTATCATTGGCCTGTGAACTCCTTGAGAGTAAGGATTATATTTTGTGTCTTTTTGCAACCTCAGCACTTAGTACGGTGCCTGGCACTTTTGTTAAGTGCTTATTAACTGACTGCCTGTTCTGTCATCTGAGGATCAGAGTAGCTAAAATCAGAGAAGTGCATCATCAAAAATGTGGCCACCAGTAGACAATATTTTTAATGGGCACAGTGACTTATTTTCATAAGTCACTCTATTAATTCCATGGAACTCCAGGGATATAATCAGCTTTTGTAGGGTGTAGGGGTGCGGGAACAGTGGAACTTACACCAGTGAATTGATATTTTTGGAAATATTGAAGAAGTAAGATCATGTGTAATTGGAATCCCAAAATGTCCTTATAGTCTAAAATTATTGAATGCATGGAAGAGGCTTGATTCCCTAAGCTCTTGGTCTAAGAATTTTGTATATTTTTTTTAGTAATTGCAAGATGACTCTTAGTTATGAATATTCATCCAATTTTTCAAGCACCAAGTTTTTTTTTTAAGCATCAAGGTCCCAAAAGACCTAATGTGTAAAAGGACCCACCAGAAAAGGCAAGCTATACTTAAAATTGAAAGTAGTAATGGGATCAGCTTTTATATTCTGCTGTTTCTTCCTTTCTCTTTGTTTTATTTTTATTCAGAGAATGACTTATAGGATTGAACATGTACTGTCACCTCATGTTCATTTTTGGAGAGTGCTCTTCCATCATCCTACATGTGAAAAATTGGCTTTAAAAACTGCCTAATGGAAGGTAATCCAAGGTGCTTCTCTCTCCAGCACAATTAATTTAATAAATTGTGACACAGATAAGTTTGCATTCACCTGTAACAATAAAAATGTGTATCCTGACAAAATTATAACTGCATTCTGGCTTTAAATCAAGAGGTTCTATCTCTAGACACAGATTTTTATCTTTGAAAGCAAGGAATGTCCTTTGATAGCAAGCCCAGGAGAGGGTGTGCACAGGATGAATAAAGCAGTGTGAGAATGTGCTTTTCAAAAATCAATAGTATTTGTCTAAAAATCCTTGGAAAAAATGCCCACAGAAAAATTAACTTTTGATTGGCTACTTTGTGGATTGTCCATGATACATTTTTAATTGTCAGTTGCCTTTTCCCTACCATCTACTACATCTCTAGGCTGACTCCCCTCTGTGTCATATACAGCTATGTCCCTACTAATGCAAATTAATGACGAGTCCCATGAAGTGGTCATTTGCACTGTTTAAAGTTATAATCATGTAAAACATGGTAATTGTTCTAGACCAATGGAAATATGTAGTACAAATTCAAATAATGTGACCACTTCATGGGATTCATATTTGTATTAATTAGGACTTAGCTATAGCATGTGACAGTGAATACAAACTAGTTTAACTATTATACCTAATCGAAACATAATTATGAAGGCAAACATGTTTGAAAGGTGAAAAAAAACTCATGTTTTCCAGAGTCAAAGATCAATGGCACCCACTTATTACTATGGCATTTAAAACAGACAGTCAAGAATCCATTATAATTTGATTAAACACTCCTAATACTGTAATAAAACCTTCAGCTATTCAAGATTTCTGCATTTTAGACAAGAGAATTCATGGATACTTGTGCTTGTAAATTACAGGTTGTTTTCATGAGTTGGTGTAAAAGCTTTTGGGACTGTGGCCTTGTAGCCCTAGACGATATAACAGTACATCTGGGAAACTGCCAGTCTACCGGTAAGACTTATGGTCATTTCTATTCTCTAGACAGTTCTGTACCTTCCACTTTTCTTTCTCAGCCATATTAAGAATAGCACTGGGAAACTTAATTTATTTTCAGAAACTCATTATACTATTCCTATGCCAGTGCTATTTCCCAACTTGTATGAAAGGAGACACTTGCACTGTTATATTGACTAAATTATTAAAAAAGTTATACTTTGATGGATCTATGATCTCACCAATGAGAGTATTGTCTCTGACAGTACAGACTATAGCCCATTTGTGCCTTCTTATGCTGTAAGTTTCTTGTCCATATTCTTCCACAGATCCTCCACTTAGATGCCACCTAATGGAGGCCATCCTGTAGGTATTCTCATATGATGTGGGTACCAGTATAGTACATAGACCATCATCCCCTAGTCTTGCCATGTGACCACAGCCTTTTCCAATCATACAGCCAGGGTCATATCACTACCCAAATATTTTTAATCACAATGATATTTTTAAAAAAACATATAAAAAGAATTGTATAGTAGTGACTCAAAACGCTTTGTTGGAGCTGTGATCTCTTTGACGTGAATATTCCCTCCACTGGTCCAGATCGTAATTCATCTTTGGCTTCTCAGCCCATGCAATTCTTGGCAATGTCAGAGGATCATGTTCAGTTGTTTCAGTTGTATCTGACCCTTTGTGACCCAATTTGGAGTTTTCTTGACACAGATACTGGAGCAGTTTGCCATTTCTTTCTCCAGCTTATTTTATAGATGAGGAAGCTGAGGTAGACAGCATTCAGTGACTTGCTCAGCATCACACAGCTAGTAAATGTCTAAGGCAGGATTTGAACTTCTTGATTCTAAGCCTAGTACTCTGTCAACTGTGCCACCTAGCTGCCCCCACAGGATCATTAAGTAATACCACAGATGTGGAGCTGGAAGGAATCCCAGAGGCCTTCTAATCCAACCTGCTCATTCTACAGAAAAGGAAACTGGGATCCAGAGAGCTCAAATCACATGCCCAGTATCATACAGGCAGTAAACAATGGTCAGAATTTAAACCCAGTCTTCTAATTGCAACTTCAGGGCCCTTTTTGCTATACCACAGACTACCTTTGTGCCCTTCCATAAATCCTCCCTTAAGGATCCACCGAGCATGCTGGTAACCTTCCTTTGTATATTTTAAGATTTCATGAGTTTTTGTTCAATACTGAGGCTGTCTATTATGTCTTTTCCAGTTATAATGCCTTTTTTTTCGCCACTTTCATTCAATCAGTAAGCACATTTGCCTTTCTTTATATCCCCAGAACTTACCGTAGCGCCTGGAACACAGTGAGCATTTAATAAGTGCTTGCTGAGTGACTAAAATATGCTAGGTACCATGCTAGGCGTGGTACAAATACAAACACAAAAATTAAGAATAGCTGCCTGGGCCCATCATAAAAAACATGGATTTGGAATCAGTTCTTGTTCTTAAAATTATGTATTATTTGCTAATACACATACCCCCCACCCCCACCCCCACCCCTATATATATATATACACACACATATATATGTATATATGTTTATGTATATATACCTATAAGTTTCTCTACTCACATACATACCCACACATCTATTGGGAGTATTTTAATCAGAAAGTTAAAGCAGGAAAGTGTAAAATCCCTTATTTTACTACTGAGGAAGCTAGGGTCCAGTGTCATTGTCCAAGGTCACCTAGGATTATAATTATAATAAAATTTCAGTTTTCAAAATTATTTTAATTGATGTTGAAACTACCATATAAATATTCCTAGGAGTGGTCAAATAAGGGTAATTTTAACAGGCTGGTAATTTAGCAGAATGTTAGGCTTTCTGTTGAGCATGAAAATGGTATGCACTTCAACAAGAACCACTGGCCCGTATCAGCCAAATATGATTTATGACAAAGTGAATCATGCCTGCACCTTGGGAAAACAAAGGTGAATGCCAGATTCTCACAGCATTTTGAAAAGATTCTGGATGTATTTTGGATAAAACACTCAAAATCTGGCTATGGGAAAGCTTAACTACAGTCAGAAAGAGAAAAGAGATCCTAAGAAGTCAGAGGAAAAAGCATCCATCTTTGTATTTCAGCAAGCAGAATTATATTTTACAATCCATCTCCCCTCCCCTAACCTCAACCTGGATTGTGTTTTTTCAGTGCCTTCTTTTCCTAGTTATCACCTAGCCATGAAAAGAATAGTGTTTTACTTCAAGTCAGGAAGGCCTAAGTTCAAGTTTAGTCTCAGACACTTAGCAGTTGTGTGCCCCTAAACAAGTCACTTAACCTGTGCTAGCTGTCTCAACTGTAAAATGTGAATAATAGCACCTGCTTCCTAGGGTTGCTGTGAGAATAAAATTGGATAATATTCATAAAGTGCTTTGCAAACCATAAAGCACTATATGAGTGCTAGCTATTATTCTTGTTGTTATTATCCTATTCCCAGACAGTGCATAAGGGATAGAATCCAGCTAATTATGGAAAATGGGCCAGAGCAGATCACGAGAAACACTTAATCTATTCCAACTCCTCGAGTACTACTATCCCCTCCAGATTCTATCTGATCTTCCCCCAATCTGTATTCTACATGTTTGATCCCATGTCCCCAAAGAAAATAACCAAGATGAGTTCAAGCTATAGTGTGAACATGTTACTGCATGTTACCATCATCTTAAAGGGGCCTGCAGAAAAAAATGACAACAGAAACAAAAACAGTAACAATATCTATTCATTCATTTACTTATTTATTTTTTTGGTTGGGCAATGGGGGTTAAGTGACTTGCCCAGGGTCACACAGCTAGTAAGTGTTATGTGTCTCAGTGCAGATTTGAACTCGGGTCCTCCAGAATCCAGGGCCGGTGCTCTATCCACTGCGCCACCTAGCTGCCCCCAACAATATTTATATATCACATTATGTGCCAGGCATTGTGCTAAATTACACTTTGGTAAGCATGGCTTACCAGTAAAATATTGTTGAGTCATATCTGTGCTTTGAAATAGAAATGAAGGTATATGAATACATATATGTGTATATATGTACATTATAAATATATATATGTATACATATGCATTTAGGGGGGAGGGGGAAGCACACAGCATTCTACTGCATATATAAGTAAGATGTTGCTTTCTAGGCATTGGCATAAATGGATAAGAAAATGTAATAGCTTCTCGACCATTGCACGAAATATCATTTTGCTGCATTTATAAATAGATCTCATACCATAGGCATTTGAATGCATATTTATGGAAATTGGCTGAAGCAGTCACCAACCCTGCTGTTTCCTTGCAGAGACACTTCCACCCCCACCAGGGGAGTGTACTTTTGAGCAAGATGAATGTACATTTACTCAACAAAGAAGAAACCGGAGCAGCTGGCATCGAAGGAGAGGAGAAACACCCACATCCTACACGGGTCCAAAAGGGGATCACACTACTGGGGTAGGTGAGTTAAACTTCATGTTGAACTCTCTGAGCAGAGGGAGGCCATATGGTGTTCTTTAAAGAAAATCTTCCCAAATAGTGTTCTCTGAACTACCCAAGCATCACTTAGAGATCATCACTGGTCACCTAGATAGTGTGCATTTGATACATGCAAATCCTCTCATGCACGAATTCTAGATGGGACTCCCCATACATGGGATAATTCTACATGGGACTCACCATTGACATATAGAATTCAACATACATGTGTCATTACATATGGGATTCAACATACATATGTTAATTATATGTCAGACTCAATATACATATTAGGTCATTTACTGGGCAGGCTTAAACTAGCACTTGTCATTTGCTATGGTGCTTAAGCAAACTTCCTTCTCACTGGTCACAAGGGGGAGGTGAACCTTCTACCCTAGATCTGGCTTTTCCTTATTTTTTTGCCTTGGTTCCAGAGCTGGGGAACCTGCAGCCTCAAGGCCACATATGGCCACTGTGGCTCTTTGACTGAATCCAAACTTCACAGAACAAATCCCCTTAATAAAAGAATTTGTTCTGTAAAACATGGATTCAGCCAAAAGGCTGCACCTGAGAACCTAGAAGGCCACATATTGCTCGAGGCCGCAGGTTCCCCATCCTGGTTCTATTACCTTACCTAGATTTCATTTCTTTGTATTTTCTTTTGAGAAGTGAGGAATAAACCTCCACTGAGGAGTAAAAAGAATATAGGCAAGGCGGAGTCCCTAGAGGACTCAACTCAGTTTTAAATAGAATAAAAAAAGGAGGAGCTGGGAACATGAACTCTTAAAGACACATTTCCATCACATCTTCACTTATGCTGAAGTTGTCTTGGAAGAGTTCAGAATGTTATAATAATAATAATAATAACTGTTAACTATGGGGACTTGTCTGGAAGAATAGCCTATTCAAAGAAATTATTTAAAAGTTATTTTTTAAATAGAAGCCCAGGAAAGAAGCTTTCCCTTTCCCATGTTTTACTAGCAATCACTACAGCATCTGGTGACTAGAATCCATACATGTATTCATTCAGGAGCCCTTCCTACTTGCCCCTAAGTATGTTCACATCCAGATAGACCCTACTGACATTCCTCTTTTTCCCATAAAGGGATGCCTAAGAAGTCAGAACTGTGCCAATCAGATTTTGTGTGTGTGTGTGTGTGTGTGTGTGTGTGTGTGTGTCTGCCAGGGCTTGTCATCTCAATCCCTGAAATGCTGATGTCATTCTACAAAGGCTGAGACAGACCCAGAGCCTTCAATCTCTCTGAACAGCCCTACAAGCAGGGGTTGCCTGACCCTACCTGGCACTGAAACCCCACCTGAGTCAGCACAGAAGAGCTCTATGCCTATGCCCAGCCTTCTTTATGTGCTCTAATGGACTGATCTGCAAGAGGATGATAAGGAGTGTGAAGGGTCTTGAGTTGCCATTTGAAGATAAGTTTCACTGAAGACAAGAAATCTTGCAAGGCTGGGGGTGGGGCAAGCAGAAAAAGCTGTCATTATGAATTTGAGAAATTGTCAGGTGAAAGGAGGATCAGACTTGCTCTTCCCTGTTTGACCCTACCAAGCAGAACTAGAAACAATGGATAGAAGTTGAGAGAGGCAGTATTCATGAGGGTGAGGAAGGCAGGAAATCACAGAGTTGGGAGGGACTTCAAAGGCCATTTATTCCAACCTGTACCTGCGTAAGAATCCCATCTACAACATACCTAATGGGTGGTCATCCACCCTTAGCTCTCAGATCTCTAGGGAGGAGAAGCCCAGCACCTCCCAAGGCAGCCCACTGTATGTTTATACAGGGTATCCTAAAAAGTTCTTAGTTAGACTCATATTCATTCTCCAGTATTCAACATCTAATCCAAATATATTGTTGTTCAATCATGCACTCACATCCAACTCATCGTGACCCCGTGGATTTTGTCCATGGGGTTTTCTTGGCAAAAATACTGGAATGGTCTGCCATTTCCATCTCCAATGTGTCCCCATTTTACAGATGAGGAACTGAGGCAAATAGTAGTTAAGTGACCTGCCCAGGGCCACACAGCTATTATGTGTCTAAGGCCAGATTTGAACTCAGATCTTCCTGACTTCAGGCCCAGTGATCTAGCTACTGTACCGCCTAATCCAAATATATCCAGTAACTATAATTACAAGCTTAGGTTCTACCTCATTCATTTAGTGACTGCTCCATGCTCCATCACAAACACTCCCAGAGTCCGATTTCACCACCACTACAAAATATACCATTAGCCAAAGAACAAATCAACACTTGGAAAATCTCAGCAGCTCAGAGCAGATACATAAACGTTACATCTTCTCTACATAGTCAGCAGCCTTCCTCCTTTAACAACTGAAACTATGCAATATTATATTTTTAGTGCAATAACAATGTTAGCTTACATCATATATAGCACTTTATAGTTTGTGAATAGTATAGTATAGTATAACACTTTAGGGTTTGTGAATCCTGACTCAGACATTTATTAGCTGTGTGACCCTGAGCAAGTTATTTAAGGTCTCTGAGCCTCATTCATAATAAAATGGAAATAATAAGAGCTTCTAGGCCTACCTCACAGGATTATGGTGAGAATTAATGAGAGAATATATGTCAACTGCTTTGTAAACCTCTAAAGTGTTAGCTATTATTGTACAGGATCTCATTTAATCAGTATTTGCCTTAGCCAGAATTCATGTTTTATTAGATAGAAACATGTTGCTTTTGTATTAATTATATGGTTGTCAAACTACCCTTAATTTCTTTTTAAATCACATCTTATATAATTGGAATGTAACATTCAATGGTAAAAACTACAAAACTCAAAAGGGTTCATTTTGAACATCTCTCCTACTGTAAAACTTGCAGCAAAGTGCATCAGTTGTTAAGGGAACCGTTGTATATAAATTTCGAACACCAACTAACTAGCAACTAAAAAGTGTTTGAGAAATGGAATGTTTCTCTCTTAGTGAGTGGAAACTTACCTGGTTGAAGTTTCTAATTGAGGAAAAAACAAGAAAAAGAGGATTCTATACTTTCCCAGGATAAATATTTTATACCTTCTCACATACAGAAAGAGAAGGGAAGAAAAGAAAGAACTGAGCAAGAAGATTAACTCTTCTCCCTTCCCTTCCCTTCTGTTCGAGTTGGCTTCCTTCAAGGAACAGTTCAAGTCTAGCCTTCTGGAGGCCCTGGCTCCATCTTAGTTCTCACAGTGATACCATGGGGCCATCATATCACTGGGACTCAGTTTCCTCATCTGTAAGAGTATGATTTAATGACCTTCAGGGTCCCTTCCAACTCTAAAGCTATGAGTCTTATTTCCTATGATGTCACAGGATAGGGCCCTGGATAGCCAGAAGCTAGCATTAGGGTCCTAGGTATACTGGCTCAGGATAGAGAAGCAGAGGCCAGAAAGGGGGAAGGATGGGATGGCTAAAGTCAAATATTGCCTGCTTTACATTTTGACTAGGCCAGTCCTTGCCTTTCCTTGCCCCTTCTAGCCAGTTACTCAACTATTTTAGGTGTATCTCTTGTTTCCCCAGTTGAATTAGAAATTCCTTAAAGCCAGGGATAGTCTTTTATATTTCTTTGGTATTCTTATTGTGCAGCAAGTATAGAACCAGGTAGGTGGATTGTTGGATTTGGAAGCAAAGAGACCTGAGTCCAAATTTTACCTCAGACACTTAATATAGGGTCCCCCAAGGGGGACCTTGGGCAAGTTACTTAACCTCTTTCAGCCTCAGTTTCCTGATCGGTAAAATGGGTCTAATATTAGCATTATCTGGGTCACAGAGTTGTTGTGAAGCTGAAATCAGATAACATATGTAAAGCGCTTTGTAAAAGTTTTAGTGCTATATAAATGCTAGCTATTATTATTAGATACTCACACGTACTACACTTAGTAGGATAGGGAGCAGGGCCTGGATCTGTGATTTCACTGGGGTAAGGAACTCAGATGAGGGAAATCACAGTACCAATATAGGTCAGTGCCTTCTCTGCAATGCATAGACTTAGAGAGCTGCCTAGCCCTCATTGGTTAAGTGAGTTACTCAGGGTCACACAGCTAAGTATGTATCAGAGGACTTGTTTTGAGGACTTGACTCAACATCTCCCTGGATTGGAGGCAAGCTCTCTATCTACTGACTCTCTGTATACACACTTTGGAAGTTTACAGTAAATACTTGCTGAACAAACTGAGGGCTAGCCTTTTTTTTCCTCCCTGGATCATTAAGCTAGAAGAATGCAAACATCCAAATGTTCTTGACTAGCAATGGGTCTCCTAGCTTCTCCACTGCCAAAATACAAATTCTATGAAAAGCTAATAAAAAGCATGCAGACCTTATTGAATTATTTGAATTTTATTCACTAATTTACATCAGGTCTGGAGTGTCTGAGCACATGAGAACTTGTTAAAGAAAAAAAAATGATCAAAATCTTCCTTACGTTTTGCATTGTAAAGCTCAAGGGTTTTGTTTGTGTGTATAATAGGGGTCTGGGAACTGTCATCCTGAGAGTGGTAGTTCAGAGAGACTCCTTGTCTTTTCGCACCCTCAGAAAGGTTTCAGTAGGCAGTGGTAGGTAGGAAGCCACAGTGGAAAATGTATTGCAAAAACTCTTGGTAAACCTAATAACTATTCCTATTACACCATTGTCCCACGAGATGAAACTTTCTAATGGTGCAAAACATGGAAAATCCTATTTTTTCAGCAAGTTGTTTCCAGGGTCTATCTTTTTTCTTTTCCCTTACTATTTGATTTCACCTGTTAAACTTTAAAACAACCACAAACTGTTCTTAAAGCACCCTGAATTGTGTGCCAACTAAGTACTTCAGTGTTTGAATAATCTGTGATTTCATCAATGTGGGTACTCCTTCCACTAATGCAGATTGCAAACCGTAATAGGCAACCTTCCATTCCCTGAGCAACAAACTTCTGGTGATGAATCTAAACTCAGCAGGGTTTATCCTCAGAGCACAAAGTAAATAGGTT